TTGCCGCTATTAGTGCTGTTCGAGTGGTTGTCTTTGAATTTTTTAGACGGCTTCTCATCTGAATGTTTGCTTCTCTTTCCCAATACTTCACTCTATAATACAAAGCAATGGTCTCTAACTTAAAACTAACAAATATTTACTATTTATAAGTGTAAATAAAGTTCATTTAATAAAGTGAATCATTAACCAAAATATGGGGCAAATATCAAAGTCGTGATCTCATGGACTCAAATCCAAACAAATAGATGTTTTCACATTCAATCACACCATTCACACCATTCACACATTCATTCATTTGTTTTGAAAACATTTCATATAAAAAAAGTTGAATAAACTTGTGCTTTATTATCGATTCAATGGTATTTTGTTTGTTAAACATTAGCATTCATTTCATAAAAATAATGTAAAAATAATTTTATGATTCATTTAACTATAAATTGATTGTAAGATAAGAGTTTGAAAACTAAAAGCTTGTGAATAAACAACATTTGCGTGAATGAGTCACACATTNAGTTTGAAAACTAAAAGCTTGTGAATAAACAACATTTGCGTGAATGAGTCACACATTTGTATCAATTGTTGACAAATCATTTCCCGTGAAATGAATCGACGATTATATCCGTCATTAGTGTCACCACAGAAGGCATGCAAAGAGTGAGACGGCGTGACTGTGTGTCCACTCCGTGGTAACCCATTCACACATATAGGGCTCATAATAAGCACAAGACATACACTCTATTGGCTCATGAAATGCAAGACAAGTGAAAGCCGTTTAACAAATGAAATACCGGTTTATGTGGCGATCGTTTGTCTCTATTCTTAGAGTCACACCAATTGGTCAATGACTCCATTTCCGTCTCCAGAAGTCGCTGCCTCTGGACCACAGATACCAGGAGTGACTCCAACTCGAGCTGCAAGACATCCATATCTTCGGCCCCAATGCCGCTCTCGTCTTCACTTCGCTGAACAACTGTCACAAAAAGGTATGAATGAGATGGTGATGGATGTGATGGTGATGCGTGCGGACACATACCAGATGTAAATCGTGGACATTGTTTGCTGGGATCCAAGACTTGGAAGTCGAGGAACTGGAGGGGACAGGAGTTGTCGTCGGAGTCGCCGTCCTTCTCCTTCTTGC